TCTTTCTTTCTTTCTTTCTTTCTTTCTTTCTTTCTTTCTTTCTTTCTTTCTTCTTTCTTCTTGTACCAGGGATCAAACTCTGCACCTTGCGCTTGCAAGGTAGGCACTTAAGCCACTGAGCTATCTCTCCAGCCCCTGCTTTATACTTCCAATGAAAGCTTGACAGATGATCAAATTTAGCTAGACACAGAAAGTGTCTATTGTATCAAATTCAAGAAGCAATGAAAAGCAGCAATTATATTCTTTTCTTGAACATTTTGAGGATCTGTTCTTCCTTTAGCTAGCCCTTGGGAATCATTTTACCTTGTCTTCAAATTAGAATTAATTAAAACCAAGAACCATGCCCAAGAACGCTGGTCTTCCTCTAAGGACCAGGCTTGTCCATTTCCTCGACTGCCTCCTGTGCTTTGCCTTCTCTTTCTGAGGCCTGAAGTGAGTTGTGGCCTCCTCCATCCCAAGAAAAACAAGTTTTGCTGTCCTTCCCTCCCTCGCCCCAGCTGGCTCGCACCGTACCACTATGACGTCAGCAAACTCCTGCTCCAGCAGTCTCTTGAGCTCCCCTCGGGTCAGAGTGGTGCAGCTGCCCTCAGTCCCGGCGTAGCGCCCAAAGGCCTCGATGATCCCATGGATGTTTCGCAGCAACTGAGGCATCTTTGAAGTCGACTGAAAAAGATGAGCAGAGGCAGCCTCAGCGGCTCCTTCAGAGAGCACTTCCGCCCAGGGCCCTTGGCTTATACTGAAGCCCTGCTTTTGGTCTGTGTCTTCCTTTGTCCTTTCCTCCAGAGTGCGCTTTATTTGTGGAGGGAACTCACAGTGACTGGTAGCAGCTCCTGAGTTCACAGTGAAATGCCAGACTGTCACCTCCTGCTGTGTAGGCTGGGCCAAATTGCATTGTCTCTGCAGGCCTCAGTTTACCTACTGTGACTAAAGCTAACATTAACACTTACTTGTAGGGTTATTGTGAACACTTAAAGAGATAATTCATTTGAAAAGTACTTGGAAAATACTTGGCTAGCACTAAGTGCTAACTATTAAATATCATTATTGCTATTATATGTGTATGCACATAATTTGTGTTCTTCTCTATTTTCAGCTGCCCACAGCATACCTTTCTATGCCTCATCTCTTGTAATCCTCATTATCTCTACTTTTGTATAAGTGAGGAAACAGGCTCAGGGAACTCAGATGATTTGCCCAAAATCACACAGCCTTTAAGAGACCAAGGGGTCCTAGAACCCATCTCTTCTTAAATCAACTGTAATGAGTTTTCTAGAATGTACCCCATTATCAGGCACATTTTATTTGCCTGTTGCAAGGGTGTTAGAGTCCTCGTGGGAGCACCAGAAGGCAAGTACTATACACAGGAATTCAACATCTGTCTTGGTTGGGAACCCATCAGGACTTCAAAGCCTGTGTCTGTCTTCTCTTGCCTCCTTTGAGAAACATGCTCAGGAATGGCAGGGCTACCTCCTGTTGGGAATGCTGGGGCGGGGGTTGCTCTCCTCAGGTGAGGGCCTTTCAATTCCAGGTGCCTCCCCACCATGTGTCCTCTGTACTTGGCTCTGTGACCTGTCAGGGAGCTCAGCTTGCACGGTAGCCATATGACTATACCCACCCTGCAGTCCTGGTGACCTGTAAAGACTTCCAGTTGAAGGAAAAGATTTTCATTCTCATTAACCAGGAAATCTGTACACGGGTTGGGGCAAAGCTGGTATGTGACCGAATGGGCAAGAAGCCTAGGAACAAGAAATGTATTAAGCAGAAGCCTCTGAGAGACCAAAGGGAAGAGAGAGTATTGAAGGCGACAAGGTTCAAGCACTAGGGAAGATGGAAGCTCTCCCCAGCTGGAAAGCCAGGGCAGGACTTTGGCAATGTAAAGGAGAAGAGCATGGACAGAGGGTGGCATGGGGAGAGAAATGTGAGGATTGGGGAAAGAAAGATACTTGGTTGTCACAAAAAAGCAAGACAGTGTGGCCTGAAGGACTGAGAGGGTGCAGAGCCCAGGCAGGTTGTCCACGGAGTGACCTTTCCATGACCTGGCAGCCACAGTTTCAAGTAGACTCTTTGTTATATCAGGGGATGTAATTTCTCAGCATGGATAAACTCTTCAACATAGATGAAAAATATACCTTTTTAAACCCTAAGGCAGCCTTTAAGCACTGACCTATGAATAGTAATAATAAAATGGCCTTTTAGTTGTATTTCAGATTTTAGGGTAAATCTTCAAACTCATCTTGTCGAAATGTCACGTAAGGGTAGGGGCTGAGGGCCATGTGTATCCTGTCCTCCCTGGACTAACTTGTGTCACTGTCTGGGTTGGCAGGAGTAAACTGATTCTGACTCCACAGACTCAGCACAGCAAATTACCTTCCAGAACCCCAGGAAAAAGATATATGCCGCTCCAGGAAGGCATGTGGGCAGCTGTACTCTCAAGGCGGATGATTCCAGTGAGAGGAGCTGCTGTTGACCAGGCCAGGCCAGCCTCAGGAGGAGGAAAAAGCTTGATTGCTCCAGGAGGGTATCATTTCCTAAAGGGCTCTGGCTCCTGGTTTGCCTGAGGCCTGAAGAGGACACCTCCTACCCATAGCCCGCACTGTTGGTGTTCAGCTCATATCCAACAGCTTTGGTTTCATGAGTTTAGATCAGCAAGACACTGAGAATGAGAAAGATTCCTTTAAAGGGGACTTACCTAGGGCCCAGGCAGGATGAGACAAGAGGCTGTTAGGCAGTGTGTGGAGTATGAGGTCAGCAGGGCAAGAACCTTTTATAGAGGGTTTAATCAAGCTGTGTTTTAGACAGGATGTCCCCACCCTCCAGGAAAGCTTGATTCATTCAAGGTTCAGCCCAACCCAGCCCCACCTCCTATCTTTTCTGTTTTACCTTCTGACCTGTGGCTGTTGTGGTCAATTAGCAGGCTTTTTCTACCACACTGGAGCCTCTACTTGGGTCTGTCCTCTTATGGGAGGCCACTTTCTTAATGCGTTTTGGGGTGCTCAGCACAGTCTGGGGTTCCTGGTGGACTCTTCTCTCTATGAACCTAATTCTTTTTGTTCAAACATATAAGAACATTATCTGTCTATTAAGGAATATTCTTTACAGAGTTGTTTTTCTGGTGATATTATTACTTAGAACATTTTTTGATTCTTGTTTGGAATTAATCTTTCATGCCCAATTTATGACACACAAGAACACTAACTGGCCTAATTTCTTTGTTTTGGTCTCACTTTTAAAATCAAAACAAAAAAGCATTTGACACCTTTTGTACCGTTGCTCTGAGTAGGTAGCATCTTCCATCTCGAGAAGGAAGAGGCTTAACACAATCGCCTACAACTTCCCTGGAAACATAGGGGATTCAAGTAGTTGACCAACCAACAAATATTTATGGGATACTTACTCCATTTCAGACATAAGGCTAAGGTCCTAGGGTTACCCTTATGGAGTTTACAACCTTGGAAACCCCTCTTACCCCCAGAGGTTAATGATAAGAGTAATTAGCATTTGATTGCTATGGCCATCTCATTTGGTCTGATCTCCATGAGAGATGGATGCCCTAGAGAGGCCTATTTTGTAGATTAGGACACTGAGAAATGTTCAGAGAGGTAGCTACTCAGTGAAGGATGAGGAGATTAGACCAGACTCCAGGCCTTGGTCTTCTCTACTGCAGTGTACTTCTACTTATTCATCTCTCACTGACTTTCGGCACTTTGCGAACATCCAACTTTTCCTTCATGCAAGACGAGCCATGATAATTCAGACTGAAGCATTCTGGATTCCGATAGCACGTTCCAGGGGGAGCTTTTCAGAAAGATATGTGGTCTCCCATGGCTCTGGGATCTCCGCCTTCGCCAGGCTCACTTGTACATCAGCATGTACCAAAGGGAGAGCGAATGGCAGCTTGAATGGGAAGGCTCCATTAAGGATGTTAGTCACAACTATTGGCAAGAGTAGTGCATGGTCCAGCATATTAGGTAGACAGACCCTGAATGGGCCGCAGACCTCAGTAGGGCAAGCAGTGGGTTTTGTGGTGGTCACCATGCTCACGGAAAGGGACTGACGTGAGTCTGACTTGAGTCCTGGGATTGGGGTAGGTTAGAGAGTTGTCCAGTTTGATCAGGGAAGAGCAGACAGAGTAAGGGCTCTAAGCTTTGGGTGCCAGAGAGGATGGAGGAAGTTGCTATGGCAGCTTATAAGTGTTTGAAGAAGGCTGCATAAGTGAAGGGGACATAGCTAATGGCTTAGACCGTCCTTCCGTGGGTGATGTGGTAGGCTTTATGTGAAGGGACTTGAGAACTTTTAAACATATCTGGGAATGAAGGGAAATAATAAGCCAGATGCTTTGTCTATGAGATAACTGTGAGATAGGTATTGTTGTATCCAGTTTACTGATGAAGAAATCAAGGCACAGAGAGGTTAAGTGAAGTACCCAAAGTTCACATACCTAGAAAGTAATAGATCTGAATTTGAATTTAGGTCAGCTTGTTTCCAAAGCCTATGTCTACAAGTGTCTGGGGCAGGATTGTGTCTGCTAGAGAGATCAATTCCAGGAATCATAAGTGGAGGTCAAAGGGATATGTGTATGTTGGTGTTTGGGGGGAGAATGGTTAAAGTACGAGTTGGGGCTTGGATTGGGGGAGATGAGGAGGGAGAAACTAGACTGAGTTTGGGGCTGAGTGTATGACAATTTAGTTTATAAAGTTTGTGAAGAGTTGTCCTAGGTTAGTGCCTTTGCTTAGTAGTTATATTTTATGGGTGTACTGGAGGCAGAGAGAAAGGCTGGGTGCCTGATCAGAAGTTGAGTCCTAATTTCATGCTCACTCTGCTTTGGAGTGATTCTGAAAGCCAGAAGCTATTGCTTGGAGCAGCTTGGATGTGGAGAGAATGTGCTGGTACCTGTTGCTCACAGATCTTCATTGGAAGACAGGTGTTGTGGGTTCATAATCAATATAGGAATCCAAGTAGCCAGTTAAAATTTGAAGATTTTTATTAGCTGAGCTCAGTGACCATCAGCATAGACCACTGTTTCAGAATCTTAAGTGAGTAGTCCTGACCAGAAGACATGGCGTGTATATAAAGGGGGGAGAGAAAGACAAAAACAACAAATAGTTAGAATAAAATGTACAGCATGGATCCTGTTTGTCAGTTAGATCAGCATGCACCCTGTCTGTCAAACAGATTTTTTTTCTTACTATACATCTGGCTACTTTTTTTTTTCCCTGTTATTGTTTAGGGTCAGCAGCTTTCTCAGGGTATATTTCCTCCATGTTGTTACTTGTTTCATGCATAGGCCTGTTTTTACAACTCTGGGGTCAGCTAAAGTTTATCATGGCAATGCTTATGCTAAGAGTCTGGGTTTAGGCCATCACAATAGGGTGATGGAGGTGTAATTCTTGGTAGAAAAGAAAAATAGTGAACAGTTCTGGGCTTTCTTATGTTCTCTGTGCTACAGCTGGAATGTCTTCTCCCCAAGCGTTGCTTATAGGCCCTGCTCAGATCATCCCAGAAGCCCAGTGCTCAAGTTCAACCCAGAAATGCCAGGGAAGGATTAGACACATACTTGAGATATTCTAGTGACTTAGCAAGGATTTCTTAGGCCTTCTAGATCTAATCCCTGACCTGACAGGTTGTGTTGGCCTTTTTGTTTCTCTGAATTC